AAAAAAACAAAGAAAAAAAAAGGTTCCACTACTTCAATTCGTATCCAGAAAACTATTATGATTATTGTTGTTTCATGTTTGATTTTCATAATGGATGGGTAGAGAAAAAAGAAAGTAGCATTGTCAAAACTAAATAAAACATCTGTACTGCTGCAGTCAAAGCGGCTTCCTTGCAGAGACGCTAAGTCCCCTTCTCTAAGGCTTCCAGTTTTTCCCAAAATTCATGGATTCGAGAATGTAGCAAGCTTCAGACAAGTCCATAATTATAAGCGAGATATTGGATTCTACAACAAGAAATCTTGTGTCTGTGACTAGGATTAGCGACTACGTACTATCAAAAAAGCTGGCAAGCGTGGCTCTAACCATGGTGGCAGAGGACAAACAAATCCATCGTATGTTAGAAGAACTTTTTGCAGAAAAGGTACCTTTTTTCTCCATCTCTCTTGAAAAAGTATTTAACTAATAGAAAAGCTACCTGAGAGAAAACGTTTTGACCCCATATGCAGGGAAATGAGATGTGCATAAAGCCGGGAGAATTTTATCTATATGACCAAGAAGAAATCAGTTTCTTTGAGATAATGGTTAGGGGGTGCAAAAGAGAGGAGATTTTGATAGGATACTGACTGGTATATAAAAGTGATGATTTATTGCTTTGGTTTTTGTTTATCAGGAGGAGGGAGGCGCTTCCAAGACCAAAGCTCTACAATCGATCCTACGACCAACGATGAGGAGCAGCCGGCATGTAAGGAGTCGCAGCCGGGGATAGCACGAAGCGAAACATATAAGAAAGTATTTTGCAATGGCTTCACGGAGGAGAAGGCGGGTAAGATATAATCCTGCAGTTTTCTTGTTAGTAAAGTGCAACTTCCTTGCACTTTCATTACACTTTCATTGCACTTTCATGGCACTTTCATAGCAGCCATTTAAGGTTGATTTTTCAGCTCAAGAAATTTCTAGAAAAGCCACCAGAATAGTTGTTTTTAGTTCTTATAAATAGGGATGCAGTTTTTCATTTGTAAACACACAGAAAAGCTTAATACTCAATACATTGAGTGTTCAAAATTTTCTTCTTTCATCCTAAAAGTGTTCGTTTGTACCGGAAGCATTTTTTGCTTACCTGAGCACTGAACGAGCAGGGACTAACAAGTGGCATCAGAGCCATGGCAAACCAAGATGTTGCGTCGATGGTGCAAGGGAGCGGAGCATACGCTTCACCACGCCAGGAGGTCATCATCCACAGGACCGTGCGGGACGTTGGCGGGGCCAACTGGCCAGTCCTCACACGCACAAACTACGGCGAGTGGGCGGTGCTGATGAAGGTCAAGTTGCATGCGCGCAAGCTTTGGCGGGCCATCGAGGAAGGCACCGAGGATGAAGAAGAGGACTGCGCAGCGATGGAAGCGATTTTGTCTGCTGTGCCACGAGTACGTGGAGTCGTTGGGCGCAAAGGACTCCGCAAAGGCTGCTTGGGATGCCCTCAAGGCCATGCGCATCGGGTCTGATCGCGCAAAGAAGGCCAAGGCGCAGCAGCTGCGGCGGGAGTACGAGGCGCTGGCATTCCGCGACGGCGAGGCAGTGGAGGATTTCTCGCTCCGTTTGCAGTCGCTCGTCAGTCAGCTGGCGGCGCACGGCGTCACCATCACCTACGAGGAGGTGGTAGCGAAATACTTGCGGGTCGTGCCGCCTAAGTATGCCCAGATCGGGCTCTCCATCGAGACGTTGATCGACATGTCCACCCTCACGATTGAGGATATGACTAGGCGCTTGCGGGCAGTGGATGACCGCGTGGAGACGGCGCTACCAGCGGCAAGTTACTACTGACCGAGGAAGAATGGGCAACTCGTATGCACGAGCGGCGACCCGGGGAAGGCTCCTCCAACCGTGGCGAGTACGGCAAGCGCCGTGGCAAGGCCCCGCAGAAGAAGAAGGACGACAACAACGCACGTCCGATCGATAAGGACACTTGTCGACGCTGCGGGAAGACAGGGCACTGGGCCCGGGATTGCAAGAATCCTAAGAAGGAGAAGAGGGAGGCGCACCTCGCGCAGGTGGACGACGAGGAGCCAGCTCTTCTCATGGCAACGACCTGCAAGTTGCACGACGTTGAGCCAGAGTTGGAGGAAGTCAAGGCGGCGGCTACAGAGCAGGGGAAGGCACTGCAGGCCGTTCACCTCGACGAGTCAAGTGCTCAAGTCCACCTTGGACGAATGGGCGGT